GGGGCAGCCATGCCCGTGTAGCGACCTGAGACCGATGATTAGGAAGGAGGGGAGAGCAATCGGGGGGCTTGGTGGCCAGTTGGGCCAGCCCAGGGGAGGGGTTTTCTTTTGTTTTATCTGTTTTGTTGTTTTTCTTTTTTTTACAGTTTTAGTTTTCTATTATTTTTGAATAGCAATTAGCTTTATAAAATATAGGAACAACACCTAAATTGGTTTTAGTAATTATACCACTGCCACATTTAGTTTGAGGTTCAAATAAATTAGTCTATATGTTTATAATTTAAAAAGCATTTAATGATTATTTTTAGCCACTGTTATATTCACAAAAGAGCATTAAAATACTTTACAATAGTGTTGGGACACCACCATAATTAGTTATGAAATATTTGCCACACTTTGAACATTTTATTTTGCGTGTTTGAGAAATTTGAATTCTAGGCTTTAATTTGAATTTGAGTTTGAATTAAGATTTGGATCAAGCAAGGATTAGCAACAGTAATGTGATGATGTGGCCTCATTAACATGGAATTACTGTAGCTTAATTATCCGGGCGTGACATTGTGTTTGCAATGCTCGTGGATGTTTTTGTAATCTCACCTTGTTTGTGCTCGTTTTGCCTTTGTCAACTTCGTCATAGGCCGCGAAGTTTCCCGAGGAGTGGTAGTGGTTGTTCTAGCTAGTCATGGCTGCAACTTCAAAATAATAACAAGTTTGTACACTCCCTTGGTACACTAATTGGACGGCAAATCTGAAGAACCCAAAAATTATACACAAGATAAGTGAAAGCTTTATGTTTGCATTCAAGTTCAACAATAACACTGGACAATTATGGTACGCTACAATTTACATTCATGATTAGATTCTTTCTTCCTAGAATGTAATCAGATTTGTCTTTCTGATAATTGCAACTATGTTCATCATATGTTCACTCATGTTACCATACAACTAAAGGGCCACTTCATTTTAATTATGATGTAGAAACCTAAGAAAGTGATAAACAAGCAACGAAATTGTATATACTATAAATACTGGCAATGGAAACTAGCAAGTCCTTTTAGCATTAGGAACACTACATTTGAGTTTGTTTTACGCTCTTCCTTTACCTAAGACCAAACGGTAAAAATGCAACGAACTATTTGTAATTAATATCAAACTTCAAGTAAGATCATTGCGATTGTTATTCTTTAAAAATGAGGTTGTACCATATTTGGGGTAAACGACACACAAATTTCTTTAAAAAGTATTTGTGTAATGCCATTGAATTGCTTTGCGGCACACAAATTTCATGGTATTAAGATTGTCCCTGAGAACATGTTTTTTATTTGCTCTTCACATTATGATTCTATACATTGCCAAAGTGGTTAATCCCTCAAGTTCTAATATAACAATTTAACATGAATATTAGACACACACACACTAGCCATGATGAACCCTACCGATGAACCCTAGTGATAAAAAAAGTGAAGGGGATGAACACACCAAGGGACGGAGATGGAGGTGATGAACCCTAGCAGTCCGTCGTGTCCCTTGCCGTCGTCGCCGTCGAAGAAACCCTATCTTAAAACAAAATGACCTCCAATCAAATTGTAGGGAAACGAGCGACGAGAGAGGGAGAGAGAGGAAGATTACCTAACCACCGGAACCAGCCGGAATCGCAGCGGCGACGACGAGCGGGGAGAGAGTGAAAGGAAGGGGAACGAGAGAGAGGGAGTGTGGCGAGGGTACCGTTGCCCCCTTGTTTTGACCCCCACAGCCTCCTAATACTTGGGCTAGGCCCAATACAAATTTTGAATTAATATTGATTTAAAATCATTAGTATTTCCTTTTAAAATGATATAAATTTGATAAAACTAAACTACAATATACTATAAAAAAGATACCACCTAAAATAATAAATAATAATAAATGGTATTGTCAAACTACATATTTCAGGTATCAAACTAAAAAGAAAAAAACCTAAAATTGAAGTCTCAAAGTGCATTTTTTTATAAAAATGTCACTATTTCCACTTAAAATAATATAAATTTGATAAAAGTAAACTACAATATACTATAAAAATATCACCACTTAAAATAATAAAAACAAAATATTCAGAAGTGTCAAACTACATATTTGAAGTCTCAAACTAAAAATAAAAAGAAGTAAAATTAAAGTCTCAAAGTACATATTTAAAAAATATTCAGTACTTCCATTTAAAATAATATAGTTTTGATAAAGGTAAACTACAATATACTATAAAAAAGAGCACGACCTAAAATAATAAAAAGGAAATTATATGGAAGTGTCAAATTACATATTTGAAGTCCCAAACTATATATTTCAAGTCTCAAACTAAAAAAAGAATTAAAATTGCAGTCTCGTAGTACATATTTAAAAAAAATGTCAGTATTCCCATTTAAAATAATACACATTTGATAAAAGTAAACTACAATATAGTATAAAAAATATCACCACCTAAATTAATAAGAAGGAAAATATTGGAAAGTGTCAAACTAAATATTTAAAGTCTCAAGCTATATATTACAGGTCTCAAACTAAAAAAAAATTGTGTCTAACACTTTTTCCACTAGTGGATCAAGGCAAAACTTCTGCCTCGAGTAGTTGTTGTTGTTGTGTGGTTGCTGTCTATTTTGGTGGTGCCTGCCCGGCTGACGGGACGTAAGACTACAATTCTCTCCAAGTATCTAGCTGGATTATTATATATGGTGTGTATGTTGTTTACCGTCGAAAGTTCTATTCTGCTCCCGAGCTCAAATGCACTCGCATGAACAGTAAAATCGAAAAAAGTAAGAAAATTTACAAAAATCTGAATCTTGTTTGTGGTAAACTTTGACAAATGTTTTTTATGCTTGCAAAATTTCAGCACGAAATGACATTCGTGGAAGGCGTGGCGAAAAAAAAAACAAAATCGGCACTCCAAAATGTGTTCAAAACTAGCATTTTTGGAACATCGATTTTGTTTGTTTTTTTGTCACGACTTCTACGAATGTTATTTTCTACTGAAAGTTTGCAAGCATGCAAATTTTTTTCAAAGTTCACCGTTAAAAAAATTCAGAATTTTTTGAATTTATTTACTATTTTTCCTGATTTTACTGTTTACGAGGAAGCATTTGAGCTCGGGAGCATATACTCCGTGTCCGTTTACCGTTTATTATTAACCAACGCAAGCGAACGTTGTCTTGGAGCGCTTGCAACAAACTTCATTAGGGCATCTACAACGCCGGCGCTAAGACCAGACGCTAGGTTCCAATTCCTGGCCTTTTCGTTAAAATCCCGATCGATCCCAGGATTCTGGCTGGCATCGATGCCAAGCCTGTCGTCGGGCGCCTGGTTTCTTTTCTTCTCGCGTTGGCCTTTCTCACGAGGGCAACAGATCCTTAACCGATCACAGTAGCGCTCAAATAGGCGCCCGTGCGTTGCCCCAACAGACTCCTTCATCAATGATTCTCCCTTAATTAATTTTTTTATGTTCTAAGCGCCCAAACAAGTGCCCGTCCATTGTAAATGCCCTTAGAGCAGGGAGAAGTAAGTATGTGCCAGTTCATGGATTCATCATCATGTGCGACAGGAGCTGTTCTGCGTAATGAAGGGGGCCACTTCACTGCTGCATCAACGAGGTTTATACCATACGTACCGGATGCGGAAGCCCCGATGCTGAGAATTATTTTGTTTTCAATGTCACCACAATAATGGAGTGTTTTCAGACTTCAAAAGGCTTTGGCATGGTTAAATTCTGCTGGTGCAAAAGGGAGGCAAATGAAGTTGTGGGAAGGAGTGTTATACATCTAAATCTCCATCTTTTGGGACTACTCAGCTCCCGATTTTATCTCATCTTTGATTGTAAACGATGTCGCCGTCTTTTGATGAATAAAATCTCATTCCCGTCAAAAAAAATTGCCATGGTTGACTCAGTTTATGCATAAGAACATCCAAAATGTATACTCCATTATGGGCAACGTAGGACAAATGTTCGTAATGATTTTTCTGTGTCATTTTGTTCTATGTGAGCACTTCAATCATAGGGTTTTCCTTTGGCCATGTTTCCAAGACATCTGGAATGCACAGGCAGAAACAAATGATCTATTTACATGCTGAACGTAGACCTCCTGACGGAAGGATAACTGAATGGCCAACACTTAATCAGTGCCATAGACCGAAAAAAATCAGTGGCACATAAGACTTTTGTTTTTGAGAAACTGAAACGACTCGCCTATAATATAACAATATTGGGGAAACACATGCAGCTGAACCTATTACGGACTACTACGGTACACTACGTCGCCACATCACACTGGATAGACTTGCGAGAAAGCGGCAGCGCGACGTGCACCGCCCACAACATCTAAGCCCAGTAGTAGATCCGACGGGTTAAATTACATGACTCGTCCTTACTCCTTAATGGCATGCACTAGCTAGCTGTCCGAGTACATATATGAAGGTGCTGCAGCTTAACCCTCCGGCCGCCGCGGCCATCGTCGCCTACTGCGCCGGCGCGAGCAGCTGCTGCGACGCCGCCCCCGCCTCCGCGTGGATGAAGCAGAGCACATGGTGCACCGCCGCCGCGATGTCGTCCGCCGTCGTCAGGCCGCATCCCTCCTCCACCTGCGGCGCGCGCACACACACACGCACAGGTTAGTCAACAAACTGAATTCACGTATAAAAGAAAATTTAGCTACCGGAGAAGGCAGATGCATGTGCAAAGGCCGGTCAGGGAATCAGGGAACCTCTGCTACTACAACTGCTCCGTAGTAGAATACAGATCAGATTCCACATGTGAACAGTGCCACCCTCACTCCTACTACTACGGCGAAAAATAGCACGAGGGAGCAGAGACACGGTACACTGTCTAGCCACACCAGCCACATCGCTAGATAGCCTTTTTTGCCCATTTATCGATGCCAATCTCAATATATCAGTTGAGGAAAAGAGATTCGCCCTGGCAGTGCTCGACTGACAAATCTAGGAGGCAATACTTTTTCATGAGGTGTCACACTACCAGCAACAGTGTCACACTGGTACTACAGTACGTGCTACTACTACTAGTAGCGCAGGCACGCTCCTAGGAGACATGACAGCATTGCTGAGTCCTTATTTTTAGCTGCATCTCACCGCGGCAGGGCCCAGAATAGCACTTGATTTTTCATTTTAAAAGAAAGAAAGAAAGAGCACAGGGAGCCTTTTTGTGCGGTAATACTGGGAAATCCGGTCAAAAGTAAGCGAACACGGGAGCACGGGGGAGGGGGAGGGGGAGCAGGAAAAGACTCAGGTGTCCACATGTGTGGTCAAGTTCATGGGATTCTGATCAAAGATTTGAAATATTTGATGCGCCGGCCTCGCCGATCAATAATGCAGCAGTATTTGATCGATCGAGCTCGACGACTGCGCGCGTTGATGTGATGATGACACATCACACATGGATGTCTGGTCTATCCGTCCAAGCTGCACTGAAGGCAGGGGGATATCTGACATGTTTTTCTTTTTGAGATGCCAAAACAAACATGGCATTCCTGAGCGTGAAGCTGATTTCAATTCGAGCCACACCTAGAATATCAAGCACAGGGTCTAGAGTGGACTTGCTAAATCGCCGGGTTAATTAATCAGATCTGCTTCCTGCAGCGCAGAGAATGACCTCATGATTCCCAAATGATGCGTGCGGACACACACAAACTACCCGATTGGGCCACTCGATCCGTGAGCCCGCTGCTATAGACTTCTAGCTGCGGCTCGACAGCATGGGGACGTGCTACGTTGGGACATGTGCACCAAACCTCGCAGGATTATGACTGAAATTCACTACTCCTAGTGTACCATACATTGGGTTTAAGAACCATTAGGTGCAGTACGTAACGCACGTGTACGTACCTTGAGGCTGAGGGAGTAGAGGAGCAGGGAGTCGAGCGCGGTGACGTTGAGGTGCAGCACGGTGAGACGGAGCGCCTGCAGGCCGGCGACCATGCGGAGCAGCTGGCCGGGCCGCCGCGGCGCCATGACGCGGAGGCTGGCGTGCGTCTCCACCAGGTTCACCTCGATGTCGGCCACCCCGGCGCGGCTCTCGTCCGCCGACAGCGTCGTGGCGTCGCGCGGCGACTGGCGCCACACGTACTGCGGGTACGTGAAGAACCCCGCGAACGGCGGCGCGTCGGACGCGCCGTCCGCCTCGGTGACGCTGCTGCTGCAGTTGCTCGTGGACTCCACGCAGGCGTTGCCACCGCTGGTGCTGGCGCGCGTCGGCATGGCCGCCGGCAGCGGCGTCGCGTCGCATCCTGCCTTGTGCTGCTGGTAGTGAGCCAGCGTCCGCTTCTGCGCTTCCAGCGACTGCAGCTGCTGCTCCAGCTCCTTGACGAAATCTATCGCCCCTCCGACGATCGATGCCTGGTCACCCTGCAAGGTTTTTTAAGGACAAAAGGCGAGCATTAACTCTGTCAGGGGAATAGTATACTCCATGGAACTCGTCGAACAATCAATGACTTCCTCCTCTGCGAGAACTAGAGACGAGTGAAACAATGATTTTGGAGGGAGACACATTAATGGCGTCCCGGAGTCCGGCCAAGAATGGATGCTTCTCCTCAACAAATACTCCTCGTAGGTAAAGACATTGGGCACGGGGAAAGGAGAGCTCATCAATAGTGATGGTGGGTCTCTTTCGGCCCAGAGAAACATTCTTTCTCTCTTTCATCATCCTCCCTCCCAGTCCCAAGTTGCTCCGGCATCCCTTTCTTCCTCTTTGACAAGCGAAGCGAGAGCACACGGATACAAAACACGAAAGGGAGAGGGAGAGAGAGACGTACCCTCTGGACGTAGGACTCTGGCATGAGGGAGCGGAGCACGACGAGGTACTCGTTCATCTGGCGCCGGCGGTTGCGCTCCACGGCGATGTGGGTCATGCGCTGGCATTCGGTCTCCTCCCTCGACTTGCAGCTCCTCGCCCGCCGACGCCGCTTCCTCCTCGGCGGCGCGGGCGACGACGTGGACTGCTTCTCCAGGCACGGCGCCACGTCACCCGCGGCGGACAGCCCCGGCGCTCTGTCGGCCGCCTGCAGCGCAAGCGCCGGGCCATCGGCAATGCCGGTGCCGTCGTAGAAACCCGCGGCATTGTCGAAGAGGAAGCCTGCGGCGTTGAAGGTGCTGTAGACGAGCGCCGCATTGTCGACGCTGGAGGCGCACAGCGCGTCCACTAGTGCCATGGCCGACGGATGGACGGATGGCTGACTCGCTCCCTCGCTCGCTCGCTTGCTCTCGGCTCGTGGCCGTTTCTCGGTGTCGCGATGCTTTTGGCGACGACGGAGGGAAGTCGCGTACCACCACCGCTAGCTCTTATCCCGCTCCTTTGCTACTGCCGCTGCTGACTTAGCTGTGGTACAACGTAGCAGTGAGTGATTCTGGGGATCTCTGAGGCTCTGAGGCGCTCGCGTTGGTGGGATGCGTATGTTTCTTTCTCTCCGGTGTGGTGGTCTACTGCCGGGGGTACTGCCGCCTACTGGGCTGGGGTATATGGGGGGAAAAGATAAGGTTTGGTTCGGGCACGCCAGCCAGCCAGCCTGCATTCGCGCGCTCGCGTAGCAGCAACAGTGGGAGAGGGCGCTCTGCTCCCAGTAGAGTAGGCATCAAATGATCAAAAGGCTGAGCTTTTTTGTAAGAGCATCTCCAACAGCCGCGCGCAAAAAACATGTTTGCCGTGCGCGCTTCGGCTGGTTTAGCGCGGTCGTCATCGCTGGCTCCAGCAGCCGTGCTATAATGCAGCGCACGCGCCGCTCCAGCAGAGCGTAAAAATACAGCGTGCGCCGCACGAACCACATATACATTTCAAAAAAGAGGAGCAAAAATGATCAAACAAACAAAATAAATCAATAATAAATAGTTTAATTTCGTTATCATTACAACTCAAACAAATAGTTCCCTAAAAAAACTCAAACAGATAGTTTATCGTTCAGTACAACAAATAATGCAATAAACACAACAAATAGTTCATGAACAATACAATGTCGAATGCAGAAATCATCATGCTCTTTGTCGTCCATGTCATGCCCACCACTCTTCAATCAGATCATTCTGAAGTTTATTGTGCGTTGCGGGACGCCGAATGGCATGATAGGAGGCAATAAAACGGGCTACCCTTTCAGCCCTCCGTCGCACTCGCACGGGATGTCCCAAGAGCTCATACTATGAGTAGTCTAAATCTTGGCCACGCTCATTCTCGATGATCATGTTGTGCATGATCACACAAGCGTGCATGATGTACCAAAGCATTTTTGATCCCAAAATCTAGCCGGTCCTCTCACAATAGCAAATTGGGCTTGCAAAATCCCAAATGCTCTCTCCACATCTTTTCTAGCCGCCGCCTGAGCATTGTGGAAATCAAGATTTTTCTTAACTTTCGGCTTTTTCAACGGCTTCACGAAGGTTTGCCACTTTGGATAGATGCCATCCGCTAGATAATAGCCATAGTTGTACGTACGGCCATTTGCTACGAACTGCACCGGTGGCTGTCGTGGTTCTAAGTCTGACAGTAGAATGGGGGGTAGGTATGGAGAGGCAAGATCATAGCTATGGAGTAGTTGTATACGCAAGAGATTTACGAGTTCAGGCCCTTCTCGGAGGAAGTAATAGCCCTACGTCTCGGAGCCCGGAGGCGGTCAACTGGATTATATGCGTATGAGTTACAGGGGTGCGAACCCTTTACACTGAGGAGGGGGGTGGCTTATATAGAGTTCGCCAGACCCCTCCGGCCCTCAGTTATGCAGGGTTTAAAGTACATTAAGACAGGGGGTTACTGGTAACGCCCACATAAAGTGCTATGAAGACTATTAAAGCTACTTAATGACAGACCGTTGCGTGCTGAGTGACTTTACGTCTCCTGGCCGTCGAGTGGTTAGCTTCATGGTCGAGTGGTTATCTTCATCGTCGAGTGTCCTTGAGTTCGTCGAGTGGAGTCCCTCTTGGTCGACTAGAAGGTAGCTTCTTCTAAAGATGTCCTTGGGTAGGGTATTTTAGACAGGTTCATGACCCTACCCTAGGTACATGACTTCATCATTAGCCCCCGAATGGATCGAGGTTTGAGTGAGGAAGGAGTTGATAATTTTTCCGACCTATTTTCCGTGTTCTGAGTATGTCATATTCTGGATCAATGACCTTTTTTTAGCGATGCATCAACTTTTCTTTCAGTCGCCTTGATCCATTCTTTTCCTCTGTCGAGTGAACTTTTGAACTTGGTGAACTTCCGAGCGACGAATCGTAGGAAATCTACCATCTGACAAGTTGATCTGCTGTTAGCGGATTTTGGAGCTGGGTGGACCGCGGTACTCGGATAGGATAAGGCGTAGACGCCTCGATTTCTGCACCGCCTTTTTCGCCACGTATCGCGCGCGCGACTGTTTCGGATTTGACAGGTCCGCCCGGGCCTACTTGTCAGCCACTCGGAAGCATCCCTATATAAGGTGTCGGGCGAGAGTTTTTGAACAGTGCCTCTCCATTCCCCTTTCTGCCTTCTTCACCCCCGCCTGCTGCGCCCGCTTTTGCCTCCGCCCATCCACTCCTCGCGCGCTTCGCCGGCGACGATGGTGAAGGAGAAGATGGCGGCCTTGGAGCAAGCGAAGAAGGCGACGGCGACGGCAAAAGCGAAGGGAAGAGCAACCAGTCGGGGTGGATCTTCGTCGAGGTCTCGCCTGCCGCAAGGTTGGGTCCAAGGGGATTGGATCCGCTCGACCATTACCCAGGAGGATCTCAACGACCTGGCCAATGAGGGACCGATCTCTCACGGGTCAGCAAGGCTTACGGGGACCGAGTGGCAACCGCAGCCACTGGAGGGTGAGTGCGTTCTCCTAGCCACTCATGTAGATCGTGGATTCTCCCTGCCACCGAGTCTTTTCTTCCGAGGGTTTCTGAACTTCTTTGGGGCGCAACTCCACCATTTCACTCCCAATTCCATTGTCTACCTCGCCGCCTTTGTGTCTCTGTGCGAAAACTTCCTGGGTTGTAGACCGCATTGGGGTCTCTTTAAGCACATATTCACTTGTCGCTCTCAGACGGTGAAAAAGGCGAGTCTGGATGACGATAGGACTAAAGTAATCCAGATGTGCGGGGGTCTTGGGATCCAAGTGAGGAGTAAGAGTGCCTTTCCAGCCATGACCCTTCCCGGGTCGGTTAGAGGGTGGCAGTTGACCTGGTTCTACTGCCAAGACGAGTCGACGTCGGGGCAGTCGACTGGTCTCCCTCTGTTCTCCATGGACCGAGTGAACAAGCCGTCTTCTTTGAAGGTGCTCCCGGAGGAGAAGGCTCAGGTAAAAATGTTGATGGAGCGCCTAGTCCAACTCATTCGGGACGGAGTGACTGGCATGGACCTTCTGGAGGTTTTCCTTCGACGGCGTATTCAACCGCTCCAATACCGAGGTCACCCGATGTGGCTGTACTGCGGCACCGAAGATACCACTCGGGTCCATCCAGAGGCGGTCAATGACGCCACACTGGAGAGGTGGATGGCTGCCATCACAGGGAATAAAGATAACCCTCGAGGGGCTAGGAGGATCCCACCACTCGACCATTCCTACACACCGGACACGATATGACCACTTATCCTCGGTTGTGATCTTGCTTTATTCATTCTGCTTCATTGCAAATTGGTCGATTAACCTTTGTCTTGTTTTGTTGTCCGTCAGGCCACCACTGAGTTGTACTCGATGCCCAATGGAGCGCAAGCGCCGACTGAGGAGGAGGAAGGAAGTGGGGGCGAAAGCCCGGAGGAGTGGGATTCGGATGCTGATGACGACGATGAAGACGATGACTCTGATGAGGAGGAAGAGGAGGAGGAGGAGGAAGTTGCACCTCCTCGTTCGGAAAGACGCTCAAAGCTTGCCCATGACCCTGCAGCCGAGCGTTGTAAGGGGGTTGCGCCCGTCGCGCAGTCGACCAAGCGTCCTTGGACGACTTCTCCAGCGCCGACTGAAAAAGCTCCGAAGCAATCTCGAGTGGCGCCGTCGAAGCCGACGAAGGTCTTGCCGAAGATGAAGATGGTGATCCCCACTATCTCAGGGTAATAGTGTAACTTGAATTTCCTCGTTTCACATGAATTTATTCTTGGCCGATTCGTGAGCTGACCGACTGACTTCTGGAGCTGCAGGGCTGCTACTTCTGATACCTCGGCCAGGGCTGAAGATCACGAGATGGAAGATGCTATCACTTCAAAACCTGGTATGACTTTTGTAGTTCTGTCTTCAGTCGGTTGGCTCTTTGTCTTTAATTTTGACTCTTTTCTGCAGCTCCATCTAACGTCGTTATTGACCTTCCCAACGACGATGACGAGGAACCACTAAGGCAGAGGAGGAACAGGAAGGCGTCTGTAGGCAAGGAGACTCAGGACGTGCCAGCACCCGAGACGTTGGTCGTAGAGGGGGACAACTTCACTCGGCCTACCATATCTTTTGCGGTGCCGCTGACGAGTGCTCGCCCTTCGTCGTCGAGTGCTGCTCAGCCTTCACTTTTCTCGACCCACCACGTCCCAGAAGACCAAGCCAGTGCTGCTAAAGAAGCAATACGCTAGGCAGGGATCATGATGGAGCAAGTGAAGGCAATCCGAGACGCCAGTCAGGCGGCTTATGATGCCAGTTTAGCTCTTCAGAGTAATGTTCAGGTCAGTCGATCACTGCCTGTTCTGTTAGGATATGATATCTTAAAATCCTTCTTTCTGAAAATTTCAGTATCTGTCGTACACCCACTGGGTGTGTTGATTGACTTTCCGGATTAGTGGGGGCACGCTGAGTGCACCCACTGGATGTAGTCCCCGAGGCTATGGTCGACTGCTGGCAGTCGACCATAGTCTTTATGTCTTAAGCTTTTTCTTTATTCGATCAGGTCGAATGGGTTGATAAATCGGTGGGGGCACACTGAGTGCACCCACTGGGTGTAGTCCTCGAGACTGTGGTCGAGTGCTGGCAGTCGACGATAGTCTGAAGATAACCTCTTTTTTTTGCTACTTGTTGGTCGACTGATCGACTCTAACTGATAGAACTAGTGGGGGCACGCTGAGTGCACCCACTGGGTGTAGTCCCCGAGACTATGGTCGAATGTTTATATTCGGTTGTAGTCTTAGAAATGATATGATTTTTCCTTAGTCACTCGGAAGTGAACTGTCTTTGACATTTGTCGATTGGTTCTTCGCAGAAATCTTGCGAGCTTGCGGCTCGTTACACTG